GGGGGGGGGGGAAATGCCCGCACCTGTGCGCCCCCTCTCGACCGGCGTTTGTGAGACCCCGTTCCTTGCCGGCGCGGCGCCCAGGCGCGGGGCGGTTGGCACGCTGAGGACATTGCAGCCGGGCGTGGCAGAGGGCTGGTGCTCGCCCGGCCGCCTTCCGGGGCCCGTGTCAGACATTTCCGCGCCTCCCCCCCCGCCCCCGGCCCAGGCCGGCGGGTGGATGACACGTCTCCGAGCCGGCGAGATGGTGCGCGCATACACACACACACACACTTGCCGGCGGCCGGACAACGTGCGACGCGCACATGCCATCCTCACCCCTCGACCCCCCCCCCAGGGCCAGGGGGCTGGCTGGATATGGCCGGCGCGGCGCACCCGTAGACGCACGGAGTTCTCTCCTGCTCACGCGCCGGGCGGGAGTGTGCGTGTGTGTGTGTGTGTGCGTGTGTGGAAAAGGGAGAAAGTGATATGAGGCCCACCGCGTTGGGTGTGTCACTTCCTTCCATCGCGTCTCACCGAGGGCCCCCGGGGGGGGGGGGGCGCATTTCTGGCGCGCTGTGAAATCCCCCCCCCCCGTTTGGGGAACGACGGCAACGAGGGGGTCCCACCCCTCCCGATCGGCGCCCCGCTGACCGGCGGTGTGCGCCGGCGAACGCATGCATGCACGCCCCCCCTCTCCCAGAGTGTCCCCTCCCCCCGGAGGGCCGGGGGAGGCTTTTGTTTCACCATGAAGCAAGCGCGCGCGCGCGCGCACCGGCGCGCTTACGTGTGTGTGTGTGTGTGCCTCTCTTTGCGCAGAGGGGCGCGCCTTCTTGCGCACCAGTCGGCTGCCCGGCCCCCCGCCTCCCGGGAGCCCGCCCGGAGCACGGTGCCCGCCAGACGGATTTCGCATGATTGACCGACGGCCCATCGGACCCGGTCTCTGGGCGCGGGGCACTCCGGCGGCAGGCGCCCCCTGGGCCCGAGCGAATTGGCCGTCCTTGCCTGTAAGCGCGTGTGTGTGTGTACACACGCCCACGCACACGCGCACACACCCGGGGCAGGCGGGCGTGCGCGCATGCTCGCCTCGCCCCCGGGCCGAGGGCATTGTTTTTGTTGTTGCGGCCCCCTTTGGGGGCGGGACCGGGACCGGGACCGGCGGGGCCGGGGCCGGGGCCGGG